TTGTGTGTTCAAATTAATTACAAATACATTTTCCATTTAAAAAAACTCTACTGCTGACTAGTTTTTCAACTTTTCATATAACGTCATTTAGAATGACATTATAGATAGAATGAGGAAAATTACTCTTACTCTCATTAAACTAATTTTTCCATGAATTGATTTCATTTTCCAAATATAACAATGGGATTTTGTGGGGATGATACTTAAAGCTGCATGCTATGAGACTCTTCAAAAAGAATAAGCTATCTCGGCATTTAATTGCAGTTCTAGTATTGTTAATTCATTTCTATTATTTAATTGCCAAAGTCAATGATTCACATATAAGCTTCATCACCAGGTATACGTTCCCTGTGACTGTATTTCCTACATAGGAGCCACGATGGCACAGTGGTTAAAATGCAGTATTGCAGAAAATATGCTGACTCTATAAACCACTTGTTTGTAAAGCACTATGAAGTGGTATAAAAAGCTAAGTGCTATTGCTATATGTTCTAACACTAAAACAGCTATGAACAAGCAGTGACTTTCTGCAATACACTTTTGAGAAAACACAATCTGAGGACTCAAAAAAAAAAAAAAAACCACCCCAAACCAAAAACCCTACCCTATAACTTTTGTTATGATTTTTGTTATGTAGGAACAGAACTACTTAAGAAGTGCTTTATATTAAAAGCATACAAATAACAGTTGCTTCCAAAGATCTGGGACAAAAGTTTCCCCTCCCATTTTTGAAAATGTAGAGACTTTAACCTGAAAACATCTGCATGAAAGGCAGATGCCTCCAACTAAAATGTAGCCATGTTTTCTGCATGACTGTCACCAGGGTATGGTCAAAAAAGTCAACATGGGAGCTACAATACACATAGAAAAGCTTGTGGCTAACATCTTGACTTTTCTGTAAGCACTCTGGGTTCTTTGATATTGAAAGATGCTATATTTTTTTCCCCCACCACAAGTAGAGTCAAATGATGAAAAGAATAAAAATTCCTGATCAACCTTTGCCACACATCCAAATGAATGAGTAAATTAATAAATTTGTACAGGCACTGAAATTGCATTCAAAATTCCCATCATAAAGCAACAATTATACCATAAATACTTTTGAGGATATGCAATCTGTGTAGTTCAAAATGATATTATCCTACTGCTACTAATGAAGTCCTAAGGCACAAATTTGTTAAACATATACTTTTCCATGGGGAAATAATTGGGTCAATAATATAAAATTCATTGTCCTATTATTTAATTGCAGAGGAAAACCATGAATATGTGTTCTACAGTGTGGCTTAATGGAAACATTATATCCTGACCTAATCATATCAACCTTATGCTGTCTAATTAAGAATGCAAAAACCACCAGATTTGAAAAGATTAGTTCCAGTTTTAGCTGTTTGTTGCCTATTATCACTATATGTGATAAATATAATGATGGAGGGAAAAAGCATTTGTGTCTTGGAAAATGACTTCAACACTGTGATTCTTGACTACAGAAAGTAATCCTTTTCCTATTAAATAGATAAAACTAAAAAAAAAACTTTTCTGGAATGTGGTTGTCTTTTCACCAATGACAAATTGTTCTTTTGAGTCGTATCATACTTAAAAAGAATAACCCTGCATTCTCATTCTATTGAAAATGTATCTGTGCCTGCTGTAAGTATTATTTTAATCAAAGGCAATTACCCATATCTGGAAGTATGTAGTTAAAAAGCAGTTTTTAAAGGACATTCATTAGATACCCTAAGCTTAAGACTAGGTGGGGTGAAAGGTTGATCTCTAGTTCGTCAGCAAGTTTTTCAGCAAGAATCTGGTTTTAAGTCCTTCAAAGGTACCTTCAAGGACCACAAATCTTGCAGAAATTATACTATACTGTTATAGGATAGACAGTAATAATACAAACTGGAAACTGTTTTCGCCCAGTTCTGCATCCAGTTCTTTCCATATTTAGGAATGACTAAATATGACAAAGAACCAGGAAGATAATGGCAGGGTTGGGATAGGTGGACTGAGTGTCTCTCTACACTTAAATCACACTGAAATCTGGTCTAAATTTATTCCCTGTCATTGTTAGCAAGAGTACACAACAGATCAATTGCAAAATGGTAATGATCTGAGATCTACAATGATATATAAATTTTGTCTGTTACAGAAATAGAACGATGACTCATGACCTTCTTCTACTGTCTACTATTGAAAGCATTCTCACATATTGTATTGTGGTTTGGTATGCTGGCCTGACAGCCATGGACAGGAAGGTATTGCAGAGGGTGGTGAGCATGGCACAAGACATTGTGGGTTGTTCCCTGACTCCACTGGATGACATCGCCAGGGCCGATTGCCTTGGCAGAGTGAGGAAAATTCTCAGGGATGACTCACACCCTGGTTGGTACCTTTTTACTCTCCTACCATCGGGTAGGAGATACAGAAACATATCCAGCCGTACCAACAGGCTGAAGAACAGCTGTTATCCATGGGCTGTCAGGCTTCTGAATGGGATATAACTTTATAACTTTATGCATGACAGACTCGTGAGGTCAGCATGATGTACAATTAGTTCACAGGGTGAAATAAGTTGGGGGTTTGTAGTCACCGTGAGTTTGTGGTGAGGGGGGGCACAGAGGGAGGCTCAGCCAATTTCACTGTATACATGTTATACTTTGATAATAAAGGTTTTATTATAATTATTATTATTACTAAATGTGTTTTATTAGGTAGTTAACATTATGTATCAAATTTTCCTACAAGAAAACATATCCTACTCTTATACTATGGAAATACTTTTGTATTCTACAAGTTGAGGACATGAAGGTCCATCAATGTGCGCCATCTGGTCTTCAACAGTCCTGAAGCCAACAATTTGCTAGACCTAGCTTGTGCCTCATACCACAATTAATTTATAACATTAGCTTGGATTGCCTTCAACATTTAAGAGGCATTGAAGCATTAGATAAGTGAGAAGGGAACTGCATATTTGCAACTTAGGAAGGTGGTTCTAACAATAGAAAGAACTGATGTTCCAGAATCCTCCAATTGTGCAAATTTTCGCAGGATCAGAGAGACATCCCACATTTTTGAAGGAGAAACATAATAAAACGGGGAACATAATAAAAATGCATAATAATTAACAGTACTTCCAGTGTTCCAATGTTTCTTCCACTATCCGCAGATAAATATTGGATGCAGATATGTTAGCAGCTCTTATCTCCTTCCACTCAATGTAACCACAATGCACAGGAATGGATGGGGTTGGGTTTTTTTTCATTATGAGATGCTGTTTGATATTTGTTTAATAGACAAACTCCTGTGAATGGTTCCATTTCTTAAGCAACTCTTACTTATCTCTTGCAACTCTTCGCAGCCATGTCTATGTAGTCTCTGATTGAACTTGAAGTGTCTTCCCCTAATTTCCTCATTGATATCTATATGCTGAGTGTGCTATTGACTGGGTATGATTTATGATGTATTTTATACCCCTTTTTTTGCTTTCTCCATTGCTGTAGTCCTCAACTTACAGCTGTTCATTTAGTGACTGCTTGAAGTTAGTACTGCACTGAAAAAAAGTGACATACAAGCGTTATGACCACTACAACATCCCCATGGTCAAGTGATCAAAATTCAGAGGCTTGGCCTCTGGCATATATTGATATTTGGAACAGTTGCAGATTCCAGTTGTGGGATCACTTTTTGTGACCCTCTGACAAGCAAAGTCAAAGGGGAAGCCAGATTTACTTAACAATTGTATAATTAACTGAACAACTGCACATATTCACTTAACAACTGTGGCAAAAAAGGTCTTAAAAAGGGGCAAACCTTAGTTAATAATAGAAATTTTGGGCTCAATTGTAATCATAAGTTGAGGACTACCTGTATTTACCAATTGCTCCAAAGAAATTGCTTGAACATTCATTCTTTACCTTTACGTTTACACGAATTTACATTTATGGATTTGTTCAACTCCACTGCATTCCTTATTACAGTGTTTCTCAACCTTGACCATTTTAAGGCATGTGGGCTTCAACTCCCAGAATTTCACAGCCAGCATTGCTGGCTGTGGAATTCTGGGAGTTGAAGTCCACATGCCTTAAAATGGTCAAGGTTGAGAAACACTGCCTTATTACAATATTTGTCCTTTGCAAAAGTCTTTCAAGCTACCTGTGTGAAATTTGATGCTTCTCTGAAATTTTTTCTTGGCAACAAAAAACAGAAGTGGTTTGCAAATGGTTTGCTTTCTTCCTAGACAGCTCTTTTTTACTTCCATCTCTGGTCTACACCCATGATAACTCTGGGGCTGTTCCACTCTAGCATTAAAGAGGTTCCACCTTGCTTCATTTTTTTGAGAACGATCAAGGTGAATTGTGCCCCTAATCCCACACAACCAACTCTAAAAGCACTCTAAAAAAAATCAACACCGATTTTAAAATAGCGCAATTTAAAAAATCTAATTATTGTAAAAAAATAAATACTTTTATGAACTTTGGAGGGCTTTACCAAGTTTGTCAACAAACATTCATTCTGCTGAGGGGAGAAAAGCTGCAGACATTTGTATTTTCTCCCGTGCTAGTCAATAAGATGAATACAGCTTTCACTTCAATAAATCTTTCTTTGGATTCAGGCACTGGATTGACTGAACAATCTGTAGTTCAGTCTGGAGAGAATTAGGCTGTATATGAAGTTCCAGAGTTGTCCCCTGAATTAAATCCTGTAGTTAATACATGGTCCAAATCATGTTGTTTATTGACTGCGATATCTAAAAAAAGCCATGGACATTTTGCTGGAAGAAAATGCATTTGAGAAACTCTTCCACTGCTTCGAAAACATTTGTAATTTGTACATTTAGCTTACTTATATCAATCAGCCGCTCACGGAATCACCAACTTTTTGTCTTCTAGTATGAATGACATTGTTCAAATTAAAGCAACTATCTTGCAGCCTAATTCCATTAGTGGGAAGGGGCGAGTGAAACCTTGCAGAATGAACAAGCTTATTTCAACCACTCTGCTCACCTTTCGTCTTTCACCACCAATTCCCCTCCATTGTTCTGCTTTTTTCACAAGGTAGCTTAACTCTTGGATAGAGATTTCCAGGTCACATGGGACAAAGAAAGAGGTCTCATCACCTTGAATCCTCTGGAGAAAATCTAATAACCAGCTTTCATTGTATAACCTAAACAAGAAGGAAAAACCTTTTTACCTGTCTGCATATTCTCTCTTTTGCTTTGATGGCATTGCTCCTCTGGTTTATCTGTTTAAAGGGAAAACTTATTTGTGGGACTGTTTGGGTTTCTAATAAAGAAAAATAAAATTGCACTTTAGCTTGTTGAAGAATATTGCTTGATATTTGATGTGCTGAATGTCTGCAATTTTATTTAGAAGTAAGTGCAATTGGTGTATCTCACAACTACATATATTTATTTAAAAATATAGTTATACCAAAAAAATGTGTTTGGGCTTTAAAGTACCATAGAGCTTTGTATTTTGAAATAACATTTCTTCAAAGCTGAAGTAAACAAATTTATTGTTCAAGAACCACACAGTCACCACATGTTGCAGTTTATAATCAGAAAACAAAAAAAATGTTTTTTTAAAGACTGGTGTTGATGTTAAAGCATATCTATATCTAGTATATCTATATCTAATAGAAAAAAACAGTAACTGTATGAAGGAATATAACGCTATCATACAATAATTGTGCTGATTAATAGGAGTAATATAGAAGTGCTCTTGTGGCTAGTTCATAACATGGAAATTACAATTTGCTTATGTTGTTCAACCATGATTCATAATTCCTGTGTGGATGCTTTGACTTGAAGATTCTTTCTAAAATATGGCAAATGTGAGCCGTTATTCATATTAACAATGATTTTCCACTTACTGTCCTACTGGATGAGAAGAGGCTTTTCCAATTATATCTGCTTGGTTAATGAAACATTTTTAATTATGAAAGTTTTAATTTGCCCTGATTATTTCCATCTTCCTGTCATTTTCTATGTGATGTTTTAAACGGTATGACAGATTTATTATCTTTAAATTCACACTGAGGAAATTTAAGAAAGCATGTAGAAAGTATTCTATAGATACATCCAGAAATATGTGCCTCTTGCCACATTTTCATTCTTGTTTTGTCCTTGTCTCAGAAGATAGATTTATTTCATAATATTTATAGTCCTGCCCTACCCCATTCAAATAGGCTCTAGGACAGTGGTTCTAAACCTTTCTAATGCCACGACCCCATAATACAGTTCTCCATGTTGTGGTGAACCCCAACCACTTATACATCACCAGGTGCCAGGGGCATGGCCAAAGAAAAGGGGGAAAAATGGCGGACAGCCTTGTTTGGCGACCCCCGTGAAATGGTCATTCGACCCCAAATGGGGTCCCGACCCACAGGTTGAGAACCACTGCTCTAGGATAAAAGAACAAACAGCAATCAACAGTCCAAATATTATCAATGAATAGTCGAAAACATTTTAGACCCTTTAAACTAATCTGACGTCTACTACAACAAGACTGCTCTGTTTTTCTAAATGCTAATGGAGAAAGGGACCATTCAGCTTATGTCCCACAAAATAGAGACTGCTGCTAAGCAGGTTGGCCCATATCTCCTACGATGAGAAGTCATCCATAATTGGTTTTCACTTTATGGCCAGACTAGATGGCCAGTTTTGATATTCGCATAGAGAATTCTTGGAGAACACCAACATAAAACTGGAGCAGGGGTCTTGTATGATCTAGACAAGAACATAAAATCAATAGTAGGTGGTTCCAGTTTATACAATAAATTGTGCCAATAGCTATATTTATGTACTTTTTCCACAATGTAGGTTAAATAGTTGCATGGAAAGATACTTATGTGCACATCAAACATAAATATCTGTATACAATGAGATGTATCTGTAGCCACTCAGAAATAAATTTATCAATAGACATTTCAGTTCACAATAACAAAAAAGGTTATTTTTCCAAATTCAGGTATAATTATAATTTACACTCTGAGTTTTCCATACCGTGATATACTTAGAAAGCTGTAATGTAACCGGTGTTGCTACGCATGCTTTGTTTTATTATTCTGTTATGAGATTTTTGAAAAATGCATTGCCCAATGAAGTACTCTTGTTCTTTATTGTAAAACATTATAGAAAGATTCAAAAGGGAAAAAAATGTTGATGATCCTCCACCTGTTCCTTAGACAATAAAGATGTTCATAATATTCTGATTGAAAATCTGTCTTACAAATATTTTAATTTAAATTAATTTTCCTGAGTAATAAATGACAGCAGCTAAAACTTATAAAACCACCTGAATCTATGAAGTTGGTGATGAAGAAGACATTAACATCTACAAAAAAATGAATTAATTAGACTGCCAATAGTTTGAATTTGCATACTGCTTCCAGGAACGTGGATGATTTGAAATCCTTTGCTAGGATGTTAGATTGTCCTCCAAGCTAAGAGCAGCTACGCAAAATTTCCCATTCTGCAAAGGCATCTTATTATTCTTACTTTCAATATGTGTCTATACCAATATTAAACTTTAATCTAATGTTCACTAGTTTAGAACTAAAGGGTAGTAAAACTTGGATCCTGCAACTGAATAGGAATAGGGTATATGAGCAACGCGTGACAGTCTCCAACTGTATCTCACATGATCACAGGAGAAATTTATCATTGTAGTTAAGGCACCAGGCTAGAAACCAAGAGACTGCGTGTTTTAGTTCCACCTTGGCCTTGAAAGCTAGTTCAAGGGTGACTTTGGACCGGTCCCTCTCTCTCAGCCCACAATATTAGATTCAAGCGACAAGAGAGTTGGTAAATTCCTTTTGCAATCTACGACCTGCGACGAAGGGAAAATGTCAGAAAAGAAAAGAAGGGATGGGGATCATAATCTTCAGCTTGTAAAATTAACCAACAGAGTACAAAAGAGATATGCTTCAGAGGTAGCCATAAATTGTTCCTCTTACATTGCAATTTTAGCATAAATAAAATCAAATTCTCTGGGAAGTAGACAAAGCTAGCATCACTCTATCAATACAGGTAGTCCTCGACTTACAGCAGTTCATTTAGTGACTGTTCGAAGTTACAACCACACTGAAAAAAATGTTGACCTTTTTGTATGACCTTTTTTCATACTTGCAACGGTTGCACCATTGTCATGATCACGTGATCAGAACTCAAAAGCTTGACAACTGATTTATATTTATGATGATTGCATTGTCCCGGGGTCATGTAATCCCCTTTTTGTAACCTTCTGATCAGCAAAGTCAACAAGGAAGCCAGATTCACTTAACAACCCTGTTCCTAACTTAACAACTGTAGTGATTTGCTTAACAACTGTGACAAGGAAGATCGTGAAATGGGGCAAAACTTACTTAATGAATGTCTCACTTAGCAACAGAAGTTTTGGGCTCAGTTGTGGTCATAGGTCGAGGACTACCTGTATGTTTCCTGTGTTCAGCTTATGGGAGATCCAGGACATACCTGAACCAATATAGATGCAGTGTTGCAGATGAAAATAAAAACAGGACTGCGTAAAGCAATGCGGTGATCAATGCTCCAGGAATTCCAGTCTGTTCCGTTCTTAGAAAAAGCCAATACAGCTTGGCACAGTCAGCAGTGGGATTATCAGCAGTGTAATAAAGTCGCTGAAATTAGATTAAAAGGATCAGGGTAAGAAAACAGTAATGATGAGAAATAGTACCAAATGTTTGCTACACCAGGGACTGTGGTAGCTCTACAAATAAGGGCTCATTAAGGACTGTTAATGACAAGGCTCCTCGATAGGCAATTTTTCCACCTTTTTTACATTCTTTTATTAGAGAATTTTTTATTATTATTTACTATTCTTTAATCTGGTACAGTCCTGACGTTGTACCATGAAAACACAATTGTGGTCAGTTATTTTAGCATCATGTGGATGAATCAGCTTTCTGTGATGTCTTGTCTTCACTTGAAATGTCTTTTTTTTTTCCAGCTCAAGCCTCTGCACTTTATTTTAAAATAAGTCCCAATCTCACTGACTTTAGTGGAATTTAGTTAATCTTAAGTACGCCCGACGTTGTAATGGAAGCTAATTGTAGGGACAATTTGGTTCGGTCGATAAAATGCCCTATTCTATACTTTATAACCCAGCTGCGTTTCCATCTTGGGAACACCCAGCATATTTCAGGTTCCGGACTCAGGGCATAATACAATTATTTTTCATACCTGGGCAGATTTATTCTTTTAATTAGAGCCAACTTTTCTCTTTATCCTTTCACCTTGAGGGGACAGGGAAGTGGGTGAATGACAAGAGATAGACCTGTCTTGATAGCCCTGTGAAACTACTGTAAAAAAATTTTTTGCCTCTGTTTATGTATATATGAATCTTTATATTCTGTCAATGTCTGAGTGATATTATAATGTAAGTGAATCAGAAATCTATCTGGAGCGAGGTAGCTCTTGTGGTTAAGGTGCTGGGCTGGAGGTTTGCAAGCTCGTGTTTGAGACCTGAGTGCTGCTGTGTGGTGGGATGAGCTCCTGTCATTATCTCCAGCTCCTTGACATGAAAGGAGCCTCCATGGGCATCCCTTGGGTAACAATGATGTCACCGGATAATTCTTTGAACCCAGAAGTGCCTTAAATGGTGCCTCTGACACGAACAGGATGGGGGAAAAAAATCTTATCTTTGCTACAATGTATTTGTGCAGGTGATTGTGGTTTATTTAGTTGAAGGACCAGAGGTGGAAGCCTGAGCAGCACAGCTGAGCGGTAATGAAATAAGTAAGCCCCCCAGCCTAAGAAAACTACTTTTGGAGTTGACTTCCAACAACACAAGTTATAGCTAAAGAGCAGGGGTCTTCAAACTTGGCTCTTTTATGACTTGTGGACTTCAACTCCCAGAATTCCTCAACCAGCATGCCTGGCTGAGGAATTCTGGGAGTTGAAGTCCACAAGTCATAAAAGGGCCAAGTTTGAAGACCCCTGCTAAAGAGAATCTGGGGTTGAGCTCTGAATCTTTAAACAGGCAGCAGAACCCAGAGCTAAAGGCTTCAAGTAAAGATACAACCAGAAGAAATGGAAGACATCACTTATTTACAGTAATGAGGAATTTGCAAGGGTGAAGTTTAAAGAAATGTGGTATAAAAGGGGGAAAGCTATTAAAGGATTAGGTCACTGAAGAAAACTCCCTTACAAATTCGAAACCATAACAAGCATATTTAACCCCAGAACTATGTGTGCAGATCAATTCCATGCCCAAACCATAGCAATCAAACGTGTTTCTATTCAGAGTAGTGAATTAATATTGATGGGTTAAAAGTTTTAGACTTAAAACAGTATTCTCTTGCTCTAATTTAAACTTTATTAAATTATGCAAAGAAAATCTCAAATGCAAACATCAGTCTCAGATTTTTAAAACAGGAAACAAAGTGGAATCGCTTCATAGTTTTCTTACAAACTTGCTATGTTATCCATAACAGGCGTGTAAGGGTTATGTCACACATTATATTTAGAGGAAAACAAAACAAAGCTAGTAACCTTCTCTTCATATTAATAATGCAGGAAAAATTGACAATATTTTAGTGGTTTCACTTGAAAAAGAAAACTATATTCATTTGAATCACTACTAATATGAACTTAACATCATCATGAAAGAGTAAGCTGTTTAGTGCCTGCATTTATCAAACCAACCAACCCATTTTCTGGGTTTACCTAATACATTAAACCCTAAATTAATCAAACAGAAAGGTTTTACAGATTGTTGTAAAACACAAAAATAGCAATCCAAGCTAATTCCATCCAAGTCTAATATACCAAATAACCAGGTCCTTTAATAAATCTAGTTGTGTTACCATAACCAGTGTCTTGATACCTGACACTCATTGGTGCTCCTCTGTCCTGATTCAGGTACCCCACCACATATAAAAAAAAAAGAGATTATTCTTGAAACGGCACTCCTAGTGATATACAGTCATTCCAAGACTAAATGGGAATCATGGATGCCTCCAGCAAAATGGAGGTTAGACAATCACAAGTAACTATTGCAATTCTCCCAATGAAAATGCAAACCTATCGAGGCACTTTCATTCTCTTTTTCCCAACCACTAAATCTTTCTAAATTCCCATTAGAAAGCTTGTCAAGGTAGAAGAAACTTGACAGGCTGAGTTCTCACCCAGTGATTCTTCTTAGCTTTTATTCTGATCACATTCACGGATAGTGGTGATAGATTTTTCTTTTTTAAATTCAAAGTTGTCACCTAATCTTTTAGGTTTATTATTATCATAATCAATGAACATTTAATGTAAAAAAAAAAATCACTAGATACTCAAGGCAACAAATAAATTGCACAATATCAAACTAGAAGGCGAGAACTATGCAAGGTATCCAAGGATCAAAATCAAATGGTTAATATTGTTAAAGCAGTATTTATTTAATAAAGCATTTTTAGACATATTTCTACAATCAAAAAGTGAATAAACTTAGAATTATTTATGATCCACTAAGATTTCAAATATTAATAGGGCAAAACTTCAATTTATACCCATATTCTTTATATGTTTCGGTTCTAAAATACACTGTCAGGTGAGCTATATCCTTTCCTTTAATAATAAAAATGAGAGTGAGTCCAGAGGGGACCCTATTTTCACTCTGTCTCCTTTCATATGCACTAGGTCCACTTAAAATTTAAAAGATATTAGATCATTAGAATAGTTCATGTCATATTACCACAACATAATACTTTAAAATGCTTGATCTAAAATAAATTGATTGGCAAGTAATCTAAAATAGCAGCTGAAAGAATGCCAAAGGCGGGAAACAAAATCGCTAATGCAAATATGGAAAACATATGTAAAGGATTCAGTTTCATTTTGAAATAGAATATGTCTCTTTGCATGGTATTCAGTAAAATGTGTTCCTTGTGAGAATAATTTCTGATATTGGTAAGTTTTTTCACAAGATAGCAAAATGTTTTATTCAGAACTTTTCCAATTAATCAAATGAGAACTGGTTTGGGGCATTCAAATCTTAGATCTTTGAAACGTATTCGCTGATCTTTTGTTTAAGTATCCGTAGGGCAAAGTTGATCTCCTGACATCAACCACAATTTAAAAATGTATAGCTATCATTTGTTCAAATTAATCTAAAAAAAATGTCAATGAAATAAAATGGTTTCTATGATCACTATGTGCAATTCTTAGCAGTTTAAAAATCTGGTAATAAATCTGACTTCCAGGAATTAAGATTCTTCAGCTCTGCTGTGGCTTATAGTATTCAGGTTCTTTGCAACTGATCCAATGCAGTTCATTGAGGAAGCAACAGTAGAACTGAACTGAAAATAATACAGAAGACTGGCTGAAAAAGAGAACAATGGATGTCCTTTAGCTGCCTCTGTGCACCTGAATACTTTACTGCCATCAATTACAAGCCCATTACAAATACCACTTTACAAATAAAGCAAATAAATAAGCATCTTCCAAGGTTGGTCTTCCCTTCTCTTCCTTCCAAAACTATTGCAAAAAAAATTGTTATCTCAGATTTAAACATTAGCCCACCACAAAAATGGTGGATTTGTAGCTCACCAGTTGCTGCCAGTGATTTGATTTGATAGAAATTCTGTTAAAGTATGTAGACTTTATACCAACATTGTTGGACTTATACTATCTCTAACTTGCATTCTCATATGCCTGGTCTTTGTTGGCTTATTATAATTTTGTCCTTTGCTGCACTTTATTGTTTGTTTTGAAGGAGCCCAAGATATGGGCTAATATAAGTGCAGAAAATCTTGATAATGGCTGCAAACAGACAGTATATAACTTTAAGACAGAAAGAAAGAAAGAAAGAAAGAAAGAAAGAAAGAAAGAAAGAAAGAAAGAAAGAAAGAAAGAAAGAAAGAAATGAGAAACATCCTAAGATGGACTGATTGATATGCAAATGTCTGGAGAGCTGCATCTAAGAACTAGTTATGTAACTTTCTTGGATCAATTCTAGGATGGAGTCAACCATTGTGGATGACCAACAATCAAAAAACTTGATTTCAAAAGATGTCAACTTACAGCCTGGGGATCATGATCAAGAATATATAAAGGACTTGGCATGTCTGAGAGAGGATCTCCATTTGCTGCTTTGCTGATATATGTCTGATTTCTTCTCTTTGTTCATCTTTTTTACCTAATCATCTTCTAATTTGTCAGCCAATAAATTCAGATCTATATCCTGATATAAGCTATAGTTTGTATTTATCTTTTGAAACAATGTTCATTTAATAACTCATAACTGGTTTCTATAAAACATTTACTGTTATTTTGCTGAATGAAATTATACCCAAACTAATGTTAAGCAAAACATTTAACTGCAATTTTGCTTCTCTATGATTTTATTGCTATAATTTGCTAAAAAAGAAATTTAGAGGGAATTTCCAGTTAGTGTAAAAGAAAGCAAAAAAAAAAATGTTTTAGGAATTGATAATAGGTTTCTTTGGCTGTAGCTCTCGCAACATACTTGGCACTTATTCAGAACCTGATAAGATTGTACATACAACACTCTGAACTCAAGTAATATCTGAGGCAAAGTCGTTGCATATGTTCTAGCATGAGAGTGAAGACTTCTACAGGATCAATAAGCTAGGACACAAACAAATTGAGGATTAATCTCAACGCTCTGGCAAGGATGTTGTTTAACCACAAGTTGCCTTTGTACAGTCTGTCTGTCTGTCTGTTTGTGGAGAATAGCTTGACTCATCCATGATGTCCAGCCTGGTAATCAGCATAGTCACAAGCAACCTAAAAAAACAAACCTTCTTGGATAAATTAAATGCACAATTATAAGGAGACTGGACGAATGAGCAAGTGAATAAAGTTAGGATTATCCATTGGATTTAACAAAATAGAATTTCCAGCAACCTTTGCCACTAATCATTGTGGCTAGACTAATAATAGCTACAGTTCAGCTGTATCCAGAAAGCTACAAGTGCCATTCTTTACCTGAATTTTTTTAACTTCAGATGTGTCTGAAATATTATTTATGAATAAAGTGAAAATATTGAATGCGCTCTCCCTGTGTGCCATTATCTAAACAGAATATACATCATTTCCATAACTAAAAAATGAAAATATTGTACTGATGTATTAAGATTAAAAGAATAAGGAAGAAAGCAAACACTCTAAGCATTTTGTAGCTATATATTATGATGCAAGAAACAAAGAATTTAACATGAATAAGGAAAATTTATTCCCTAAATATTCCAATGCATCTTTGAATAGTAAAATATCCTCGAAATTTAGCTACATTTGCATCTAACAACGTAGAGATAATCCTGTTTACCTGAATCACAAGCTAATCTTATCCCATGGGGCAGATATAGGATTTTTCCCCCATTTAACTGTTATAGTAAAAGAAGTCCAACTGATAATTAAGACCCAAGTTTTCCTTGAACAGCTTTTATTTCAAGAGATCGATTGGGATGGTACAAAAATATCCAAGCAAACAGTCGACTTGGCTCAGTTTTTATCTTAGAAAACATGGTTAGAGAGGGAAAAAAAACTATCAGTGATGAATGGGCAGACTTTTAGAACTTTGTTACTTACTATGTACAATCAGCCACATATTGCTGGATGAAGTACTAAAGATAAAATCAGTACAATAAATACAATTAAATATGCTATCTGCATATCTTAAGCTGAGATTTGGAAAGAGAGATGTTCGATAGTCCTTGAATGTTGTCTTTCATTCTTTAAAAATATTCTTTGGTTCCCTAAACTATTGCATTGCTTCTAAGACAGTTGCAGTCACTTTTATCCTTCGTTAAAATATCGGTTTATATGTATTCTCTTTACATTCACTGAGCATAATGAATCCCTAACAATTTATTTAATTATTTTTACTTGGCCCGCTGTCAGCAGAGGTAGGATTTCATATTATTTGGTGACTCATTGAATAAAACAAATTTCTGTATTGAAGTTATTTTAAGTGACTTACCCCCAGGAATGCATCCACCACAAACACTGCCAAAGGGTCTAGTACTGTCCATAATCCCCAAGCCATGATCAGCTTTGACAAGTAAGTAGGGAAGGAGTCAAACAACAGTTGACAGCCCCATCTCATCAGAATCAAAAGAAGCATCCCTGTGTTCAAGGTCAAAGGTCCTACCACAACCATCGCCATCTCTTCACTGGCATGTACCAAAGAATTCTGGTAGCACAAATCTACAGTATAAAGGTAGAACTGGAATCTGAATAAAAGAGATAGGATAAAGATTCAAGAAATAAGACGATCATCCTGGTTACCATTTCTTCTATGATTTATTTTATGCATTAAACATGCAAAAATGTGTCCACTAGAACTGCTACTCTACTAGAATTTCATGATGATGATGATGATGATTTGTATTTGCCTATGCATAATTATGTATAAATGGGGAAATTAAAGTTTAAAACACAAAACATAGAAAATGGTGTAGTCCAATAAAGGTCACACCCACCAACCATTAGAAATTAAAAATGCAATATTATAAAAGATGTGGCTTTTTTTAAAAAAAAATCCTTTTGTGCTAATAAATCTCTTCATAAAATGACAGAAACAATCAAATTCCAATCAAAATACTTTCTGAAAGACATAACAGTTTTAGAAGTTTATAATTTTAAAGTTTTTTTTTATATTCTTACTTTTTTTTCTTTTTTTATTTTTTGTTTTTTTTTTATTATTAAAAGTTTTATAAGTTTTACAAAAAAAGAAAAAAACAAAACAATACAAAGACGAAAAACATATACAAAGAAAAAACTAAACATTACACAACAAACCCTCCCTTCCCCAACCTCCCCCAAACACCCCCCCTTCTCCCCCCCGAGCTTCCCAGAGCAGAATATAGGCTTAATTAAAAAACAATTAGAAAAATTATATTTTAAAATATATATGTATATATATAAGAATAAAAATTAAGAAAAAGCTATATAATATTTTTTAATATCCATTTTAAACTGTATAAATTTTATCCATTTATCCCAAACAGCAAGAAATTTCTCTTGCGTTTGTTGCTTTAAAAAAGCCAAAATCTTTGCCATTTCCGCCAAATAGGACACTTTAAGAAACCATTCCTGCAGTGTAGGCAAAGATTCCTTCTTCCAATATTGTCCAACTAGCAGCCTCGCGGCTGTAATCAAATTTAGCATCAATATAACCTCCTTTGTATCACAATCAATAACTATACCCAACAAAAATAATTGCGGAGTAAATTTTACCCTCCTTTTAAAAATTCTCTGGATATTCCACCATATCTTAATCCAAAATGCTTTTATCTCTCTACACGACCACCAAATATGATAATAAGTAGCATCCATACACCCACATCTCCAACATTTAGGTTGTAGGTCAGGGTACATAAAAGACATTTTTTGTGGATCAAGGTGCCATCTATAAAACATTTTATAGAAATTCTCCCTTAAATTCTGTGCTTGTGTAAATTTGACATTTCTCACCCAGATAGTTTCCCAGGTGTCCAATGGAACTGGCTCACCAAAATTCTGCGCCCATCTGATCATACAATCTTTAATTAGTTCCGTTTCTGAGTCCAATTCAACTAAAACCCCATAAATTCTCTTAATGTGGGTTTGTCTTTGATCCTTCACTTGCTTAATAAAATTTTCATCTTCTCTAAGAAAGCCCACCTTGCAATCCACCTTCCATCTATCTGCTAGTTGCCTGTATTGGAACCAAGAGTAAATAATATTTTCTTGTGCTAACTCTTCCCGTGATTTTAACTGCCAGTTTTGTCCATCCCACCTAAGTAACTGTCTATAAGACACCATGTCCATTTTAGCACCTCTTTTTATTCCTTCTATCGCATGCCAAGGTATAGCCCATAATGGTACTTTAAAATCACTTTTATAATATTTTCTCCAAGTCCTAAGTAAAGAAATTCTTAAAATATGAGATTTAAAAACCCAATCCATCTTTTTGTTAAATATTAAATAGGCATGCCACCCAAAAAGTAAATCCCATCCCTCAAGATAAAGTATCTCAGGATTTGTCAAATTTACCCAATCACTAATTAGTGTTAAAACCACCGCATCATAATATAGTTTCAAATTCGGTACCTTGAGTCCACCCCTCTCACGGAAGTCTTGCATAATTTTAAACTTAACCCTTGGCTTTTTCCCTGCCCAAATAAATTTATTAAGGCCTTTCTGCCATTCACTTAGATTAATCTCATTCTTCAAAATCGGTAACATTTGAAACAAAAAGAGAAACTTGGGTAGAATATTCATTTTTATCACTGCAATTCTTCCCATGAGGGATAATTGCAACTTCTCCCAATTCTTCAAATCATTCTGTACCCTAACCCACAACCTTTCATAGTTATTTTTAAATAGTTTTGCATTAGAAACAGATAACATCACCCCCAAATATTTTACCTTATTAACAATTTCAAAACCCGTCGAGTTAGCCAAAGTCTGCTTCTCCTGACTAGTCATATTTTTAGGTAGAATTTTAGTCTTATTAACATTAATCTTGAAACCCGAGACCAAACCATAATAATGAATCAACTGTAATAACTTTACTGCAGAATGAACAGGTTGCGACAAAGTAACAACCAAGTCATCCGCAAAGGCTCTTAACTTATATTCTTTTTTGTTAACTTCTATTCCTTTAATTTCCTGCGACTCTCGAATTTTAATCAACAATATTTCCAATGTTAAAACAAACAACAGTGGTGATAATGGACACCCCTGCCTAGTACCTTTCTCTATTGTAAAAACCTCTGACAAACCTCCATTAACAATAAGTTGCGCCGTTTGTTTTTGATATATTACCGTAAGGGCTTGTAATATCTTTTCACCAAAATTCATCTCTTCCATTACTCTTAACATGAAATGCCAATTCAATTGATCGAATGCTTTTTCGGCATCTAAAAATATCAGCCCTGCAGAGACTTGGTTGTTCTTATCTAAATATTCTAATACATTAATGATTTGTCTAACATTATTTTTCATGTACCTTCCAGTTATAAACCCAGATTGATCTTTATGCACAAGGTAAGGCACAACCCTCATAAACCTGTTTACCAAAATTTTAACAAATATCTTATAATCCACATTTAAAAGAGATATGGGCCTGTAATTCTTTGGTAAAGTAAGATCTTGATCCTCCTTTGGAATCAATGATATAAAGGCACTACGCCATGAAGGAGGGATCTCTGAACCCTGTAAAATACCATTAAAAAGATCACCTAATGGTTGAATCATCTCCTCCATTAAAGCTTTATAATAAACAGCTGTTAACCCATCCGTACCCGGTGCTTTCCCTGATTTCAATTGTTGAATTGCTAACGCAATTTCCTCCTTGGTAATTATCCCATTAATTTCATGTTTCTGATCCTCTGTCAATCTAGGGAAATTAACCTCACTTAGATATTTATTTATATCTAAAATTTGCACATTAGTAGATTTATATAACTTTTGATAATAGTCCAAAAAGGATTTCTTGATCCATTCCTTCTGAGAAACTAATTTACCCTTATAGTTTATTTTCTCTATTATTCTCTGTCTCTGTTTCTTTCTTAATTGATAAGCCAACCATCTCCCTGGCTTATTAGCATTACAAAATGTATTTTGTTTCATAAACAACAAGTTAGTTGCAGCTTGATCTGCTAACAACATATTAAATTGTGACCTTAGTAACTTTATAGATTCTTTAATACTTTCATCAGAAGGATTTAAAATCAAGGACTTTTCTTTTAATTTAATTTCATCTTCCAATTCTTTACGTTTCTGAGTCTGCTTTCGCTTATAACAATTATTCATTTTTATCAAAACACCACGCATAAATGCTTTACCTGCATCCCATACCATTGAGATTGAAGTCCCCTTATACATATTCAAAACAAAATAATCCTTTAAACACTCCTTTAACTTTTGAACATTCTTCTCTTGTCTAAACAAATTTTCATTCACTCTCCAGGATCTTCTCTCCTCTTTTTCTTGAGTCAACTCCAGCCAAACTGGGCTATGATCCGTCAACGATCTAGGAAAAATCTTTACATTCTTTACTCTATTGTACAAGTCCGTTGTAATAAAAAAAAATCAATTCTTGAAAAGGATTGGTGTCTATCAGAAAAAAAAGTGAAATCTCTCTCCTCTTGGTTACATTCCCGCCAATAGTCCCTTAATTCCCAGTCCTCCTTCATATCAAAAAAGGCTTTAGGTAATTTTGCTTGTTTAAAAAAAGGAGAAGAACCTTTCTTATCCCTTTGTATATCTAAGACACCATTCCAATCACCCATTAATACCACGGATCTATAGTCCAGCAATGTTATTTTTTGATGTAACAACTTATAAAATTGTTCCTGTTGCTGATTTGGTGCATAAAGTCCCACTATAAGTACTTTCTTACCATATAAACCAAGTTCAATCATCACATATCTTCCCTGGGGATCTGATTCCACCAGACAAGCTGGTAGATTTTGTTTAACATAAATAACAACTCCCCCCTTTTTCCCAGGAGCAGAAGATACAAAGTGAGATCCCAAACGAGCATTAACTAAATATTTCTGATCCTTAAGTAAAATATGAGTTTCCTGTAAGCAAATAACATCATTGTTGTGTTGCTTCAAATAGTAAAAGATTTTTTTCCTTTTCTGAGGAGAATTCAATCCATTAACATTCCAGGTCAGAAACTTTGCCATCACTCTTGGTCCGCAGCCTGGAGAAGACACCTTCGAGATCTGCCATTGCTGCATGTGTTGCATAACTCTTGGGTCTTGCTCCTCCCACCGGCGATGATGCACTTTCAGAAGAAGTTTCTTTAGCCTCTTTCTTGCGTTGCTCCTTCTCTTTACGTCTATAAGCTGCACGAGTCATTCTCTGCTCTTTAACCTCCGTTTGGCGTTGCCATTCAGCTTGCAGCATCCCAGCAGAAACCAAACCTAATGCCTCAGATTGCTGCTCCGCCTCTTTACCACTCAAAGATTTCTGAACAGGTAAAATTGAGCCTGCACCCAGGACCGTATTATAAAACTCTCTAGCTTTATCAACCGTATTCAATCTGTAACGTGTCCCCGCATGGCTCAAAACAATACCTATCGG